TCCCTTGTTGCTAAACCAGAGTATCGACCGTCTTACCACTGCTGCCCGTCAGTGCCAAATTGACTGTACAGTAATACTTCCCCATCATGACCACTCTCCAACTAGAGAGCTGAGATGGGGGCCAGGGGGCTGGGCTGCAGCTATGATGCTTTATGCTCTCCCTGAAATTTGTGAGGTCAGTGTGATCACTGCTGCACTATGGAAACTGCCTCTACCTAAAATCACAAAACACTTGAGGTGTGATGATCTACCTGACAAACTCCAAAAAGAAAAGTGAAAAACATACCCAATTACTGATCTATGTGATGCCAGGAAAACCTTATCTACTTAGCAGCTCAGAAACTTTATTATTATAGTTTGCTCCGAAAACTCAGTTTTTACTCTGTATGATACCAAATTGGTTTTCTAGCAAACATGAGGAATCTTAATCACCACTTACATAAAATTCCACAGGTAGCATCGATTTCAGTCTTGTCTCTTTAAAATCTGCCAGGCAGTCATTTGTTAAAAGTCACCTTTTCTTTTAATTAACTTAACATTAAACAAATGGTCTTACCCTATGGCACTGGCAAGATCCTCCCAATCTATTTCATTGGCATCTTCTACATCTTCTTCATATAACCTATGAGAAAATTAAAAAGTTAAATTTTCAAGCAAAGATTAGCATGATGGACATCTTCATGGACCCATGGATTATTAAGTGTGAAGAGGTTCCAGGGCTTTCACCTGTGCCTCAGCTCCCTCATTACACCCACCCCGTGAGATCATCTATCCTAGCCCAAGGTTATTCCTAGGTAACACAGAGATGGGCTGAAAAGACATCTCTCCTCCTTCTGAGCCTTTGTGTCTCCCACCAAACCATGTAGCTTTCTCATAGTAAAAAACACAACTTCACCATTCAGCACAGACACACAGAAATACTACATCCATACTCATCACTTGCTATGTGATAGACACTGTGCTAAGACCTTTATGTGCACAAATTCCTGTACAGTACTCTGTACAGCCAACTGATGAGCTGGGGAGGATTAGCCCCATTCTATAGACAAAGAAATGGTGCTGAGACACCGAGTCGTGGGCTCAAGATTTCATGGCTGACCGGTGGTGCCAACCCTGGAACCCAGGTCTGCCTGACTCAAGATGCCCTCCCTGGACCTGCTAGTCTACACTGTCTCTCTAGAAGAAGAGGTGGAGGCAAACTAGCATAGAGAATCGAGAAGCACACCAGTGAACTTGAAGCAGGGTTCATGCCAGAGAGTAGGGAGAGAACAAAGGTGGACAGAGGGGCTGAATCCAAAAGGTTTTTGCCAGGCTTGCTAATCCTGCAGGCTTCATAAAACAGGTCTGTCTCTCCCTTTCTCTTACCACTCCACACACTTCAGGGAGGACTGTTTGGGGGCCCAGGACTCAAGGACAAACCCAAAGACCAAGCAACGGTAATAACAGCAAACTCTGCTGGAAAGCAGGAGGCTCTGTCTGAATTATATTCACGTGAAAAGTGGCAAAGCCCAAATTAACTATATTTATTGAGCACATAGTACATTTTATGCACATTATTTCATTTTAATGTCTTGACAACACTAAGAAGTAGGTACTATTACCATCCTCGTGTTAAGATTAATAAACTAAGAATGGTAGGTCACATGCCCACAGTAATACATGTAGAAAGTCCTGGACAGGGATTTGAACCCTGGCAATCTCACTACAGAGTCTGCTGCATTAATAACTACTCTTTGGCTAGAGAGAAAACAATTAAAATAGCATCAATTTCTATTCCTGTACCTTTCAATAAGATTGATTTTGGCCCGCAGGCCATTAACTCCTCGGTATATGTTCCGGCCATTAGTCATCCTCTTGGTTAGAATTTCTGTCCTGTAGTAAAAGAAAAATTTAGTTTATTTTCAGTGGTAAAGTTTCCACTAAAATTTCCTGAATTTTTATCATCTAAACTGCCTTCATTCAGAACCAACTTCTAACTTCTCATCATTGCTAACATTTTACACCATAAAAAAATACCTATTTTTTTAAAAAGTAGAAAGAGATAAATAAAATGATAGAAAATTGGTGATTACTAAAACTGGATGATGAATATGAAGAGTTCTACTTACACATATTACAAAATTTTCATTTTCATTTCTGTGCCATGGGTAGAGTGCCACAGCATCATTGCAACCTCAAACTCTTGGGCTCAGGAGATCCTCCTGCCTCAATCTCCTGAGCAGCTGGTACGACAGGTGTCTGCCATGATGCCCAGCTAGTTTTTCTACTTTTAGTAGGGATAGGGTCTCACTCTTACTCAGGCTATTCTTGAACTCATGAGCTCAAGCAATCCACCTGCCTCAGCCTCCCAAAGTGCTAGAATTACAGGTGTGAGCCACTGCACCCAGCCTAAAAGAGAAACATTGTAATGTTATCTTAACAATGTTGAAACAGGACCACCCTTAATCATTATCATTTCCCTTTCTTAACACTGATGCATCATCTTCCAATTGAGGTTTACAACCTTGTCTTCCCTTTTTTTAAGCTTAAAATACAGGGGTAGGAAGAGCTCCAGTTCCTCCATATTATACCTTCCCAAATCTGTCTGATTCCTCTGAGTGTATTATCATGCACCTGCAGCAGAGCCATGAGGTACATAAACAGTGTAACCCAGGAGTGTGCTTTTAACACAAAACGTGCCCACTCTGGTTTCACTTCTGTGTGGCATTCAGGGGTCGCTGGGTGTGCTTTGTGCACAAGGTGCGGGTTCAAGGGTCACGCTGCAACCCTCTAGGACTTGAAAAGCTACATCCGGCAAAGTGCAGCAAGATCAGGGTGCAGCTAAGAACATGAGGGCCTCACTTCAGATGGAGACAGAGGAACTGCTGAACTTGAGAGTAAAATAAAGAGAGGCAGAGCTGGTACTGATCACCATGCTTGTGACGCGCCTTCTGAACATTCACTTCATATTTTAGCACTGCAAACAGATAACTATCTTCTTTTACTAAAAACTTAGAAAGAGATGAGTAAAGAAATCAAGTTAATATTCAGTATTTAGAACATTCAAGTTCTTGGCGTGGCGCCTGTAGCTCAGCAGCTAGGGTGCCAGCTATATACACCAGAGCTGGAGGGTTCAAATCCAGCTCAGGCCTGCCAAACAACAATGACAACTACAACAAAAAAAAAAAAAAGCCAGGCATTGTGGCAGGTGCCTGTAGTCCCAGCTACTTGGGAGGCTGAGGCAAGAGAATTACTTGAGCCCAGGAGTTTGAGATTGCTGTGAGCTGTGATGCCTACAGCACTCTACCCAGGGTGACATAGAGAGATTCTGTCTCAAAAGAAAAGAAAAGAAAGAAAATTCAAGTTCTTTATAAGGAAGCTATGTACTTCTCAGTGAGCCAAGGCTACTTGTTAAATGCTAATCTGAATCAGAGTAGGACACTGTGGCAGCTGGGGCCATGGACTGGACATGATGGTTCTTGACATGAACACCGTCACAGGGCAGTAACTCACCCCTCTGCCCCTTCTGTAGAAACTGGAGAAAGGGGTGGGGGGGAAAGAGAGCCAAGAATATAACTTACCACTTACTTTTACACTGCATCCAGTTTCTGGTTTCCACTTTAGCTTCTACTTCTACCCAAGATATGCCCCTGTAAAGCTTCTCCCGAACAACTGACAGGCGATCTTCAGGGTTTTCTTGAAGTCTGGAATCGACCTCATCCAACTCCTGGTGAGACATTTTCTTTAAAATCACTTCTTCAACAGCCTTAATTAGTTTCTGGGTTTCTGCCTTACTCCAAGCACCATGGTTTCTTTCTATAGATATAAAAGAATGGTCTTATAGTTGCTAATCTATTTGTTTTCGAACAATATTAAAAAAACAAAATAATAAATCAGGCACTTTTCCTAAGACAATAGCCAACATCTCAATTACACAAACAAAACAATAAAATACAAATACATGCACATTAAAATTAAATTACTAACGTGGTCAAGGATTCCTTTTAAGAACCAAGGCCAGAAATTATTAAACGACAAATCTTGTTCATTTCTTTGCTTATGTGTTGACTGACTGATGGACTGATTGAGACACGGTCTGGCTATGGGACCCAGAGTGGTCTTGAACTCGTGGCTGCAAGCAATTTTCCTGACTTGGCCTCTCAAAATGCTGGGATTATAGGCACGAGCTACTGTGCCCAGTGAGTAAATCCTTTCTTAAAGCAATGCTTTTTTTAAACTTCAAAAAAGTTATTCTTCCTGTTTCAGAGAGTCATGTTTCCTGTTTGAAACTGTGAGGTTCTCAAACATTTTTACTGAACATTTAATGGGAAAAAAAAAAAGAAGTCAGATGGCTTCTATGTATGGGCATAGCTCTCACCAGGAGTTGCTAGTGTCAAGAGAGTAGCCACAGCAACAACAGTGCCATGCCTGACGACAGAGGCCCTCGGGTGGTCTGAAGCCACTCACCTGTGCAGGGTGCTGCCCTCCCCACTAGACCACCCACAGCCAAGCTAAGGAAGGAAAGTGCCTCACACTGGAAGCCTGCCAACATCTCTGGTTTGGCCCACAGTCTTCTTTTTTTTTTTTAAGATAGAGCCTCAAGCTGTCCCCCTGGGTAGTGTGCCGTGGCATCTCAACTCACAGCAACCTCCATCTCCTGGGCTCAAGTGAGTCTCCTGCCTCAGCCTCCCAAGTAGCTGGGACCACAGGCGCCCGCCACAAGGTACAGCTATTTTTCTGGTTGCAGCCGCCATTGCTGTTTGGCGGGCTGGGCTGGATTTGAACCCACCACCTTAGGTGTACGTGGCTGGCGCCTTAGCCACTTGAGCCACAGGTGCTGAGCCTGGCCCACAGTCTTCTATCTCAATAACAATTTGGATGAATATTTAAAAATTAAGAGATTTCCAAGAAAGACAAAGGTATCTAGAGTTAACAAAATTAAAAAAAAAAAAATTCCAGATTTTTGTTTTACTTAGAAACTTGAAGAACTGGCCTCGATGCATCTCTGTGTGGCTGGAGTATGTGAGCCCCTATGCTAAATAGTAACCTCAACAATTGTCTTTTTTTGTTTTTTTGAGACAGAGTTTCATTCTGTTCCCCAAACTGGAGTGTAATCAATAGTGTGATCAGCGCTCACAAGCAAACTCTTAGCCTCAAGTGATTCTCCTGCCTCAGCCTCCCGAGTAGCTGGGACTACAGGCACCCACCACAATGCCTGGCTAGTTTTTCTACTTTCAGTAGAGACAGGGTCGCATTCTTGTTCAGGGTATTCTTAAACTCCTGAGTTTGAGGGATTCTCCTATCTCTGTCTCTCAGAGTGCTGGGATTACAGGCATGAGCCACCATGCCCCACCAGGACTGTCATCTTAAAGTAACTTCAGATGTTTGGATATAAAGATTATAACCAAAGAAATTTGGGGGGCAAGAGAATAAAAAGAGACAGGAGGTCAGGCCACACTGGGTTTAGGAAAAGCTGTCTCCTGAAAGGCCAAGTGAATTCCACACCTCCTTCCCACAGCCTCCTTGACACAGTGGAAAAGTGACTGCCTTTACCTTGGCTGTCCCAAACCAGTTTCCTTGGGTATTGGTCCATTTGGCAGGTACATTTGCATTGAAAGTTACAGAAGTTCAGAAGTTACTGAACTGTGGTAAAAATCAGTCCAGTGAATAAAGGTTGCACGGTTTCACCAAATACGTATGAGGAAACAAAATGAGTTAGTGCAGAGAATGGCTTAAGCAAACAATAGTTTTCTCTGAAGACAAGCTGCAGTGATTTCTGGGCACTAGGTCAGAGTTTCTGAGCTAAACCAGTCCTGGCAGGACTCATAGGGACTACTGCTTACCAGTGCTGATCTGGGAGAACTTCAGGGCCACAGAGAGGCTACTTCGGGCCACCATCTCTCCAATCTTTTTCCAGTCATTCCCGTGGAGAGAATGGTACATCTTTAACTTCTTGGTGTCTGCTTCGCTATATCTAAGAGAAAGGAGAAATGTTTTCTGAGTTTGAACTATGAGAGTAAAAGTGGTATTCTCATTGCAGTGTGCTGCAATCCTGGGAAAAGCTGAATGGGGTGGGTGGTCAGGAAACCCTGTTCCAGCAACAGGCCTGGTAGTGATCAGAACTCTTGTCATTTCCTGTCTGAGTCTCAACGTGGGCCATCCTCTCAGTCAATCACCGTAGTCTCAGGCCAGAGGTCTGGCTCAGTCACATGGCAGCAGAAGCAGACAATCCCTGAACCCCTCCTCACTCCAGAACCTCTGTATGGGTGGCAGAAATGGCCTTCTTCCTGCCATCCGGATAGGGAGTGCTTCCCTGGCAACCTTAGCCGACGGTTCCATTGATCACTCCAACAGAGCACTGGGCCTCTCTTTCAGCACAGGAACAACCTGCTTTTATACATACATAGGCTCTCGTGTTCATAACACTTTCTCTACACCACCAGCACTCTCAAACAAACTAATATAAGCCATATGTGGATTTTAAATTTCTCAGTAGTCATAGGAAAATTCATTCTAATTTAGTTTGAATGAAATTCATTTTAAGAATATATTTCATTTAATCCAGTATGTTAAAAATGCTTTTGTGATAACATGTCATTCGTATCACAAAATGTTAAAGAGATATTCTAAGCCCAGGTGAGGTGGCTCACACCTGTAATCCAAGTATTCTGGGAGGCTGAGGTGGGCAGACTGCCTCAGCTCATGAGTTTGAGACCAGCCTGAGCTAGAGTTAAGACCCTGTCTCTAAAAATAGCTGGGTGTTGTGTTGGGCACCTGTACCCCCAGCTACGGGGAGGGTGAGGTAAGAGAATGATTTGAGCCCAGTAGTCTGAGGTTGCTGTGAGCTGTGATGCCATGGCATTCTACTGGAGGCAACAATCTGAGACTCTGTCTCAAAGAAGCAAAGAAAAAAAAAAAAGAGAGACTCTACATTCCATTCTTCATGCCAAGCCTGCACAACCCAGGGTGTGTTCTACTTTTACAGCGCATCTCAGTCTGGACTAACCACACTTCATGCGTTCAGCAGCCACCAGTGTCACAGCTGGTAGTCACAGCTCCAGAAGGAAATCTGATAAGGGCACAGACCTTGTTGGTTTGTATACTATGGCACTGACAATGCTTGACAGACAACAGACATTAAGTACATGTACAACAAATGGCTTAATATAGATATGTAACTATTTAAGGCTTTAAAACACATTAATCCCATATAAAAAATATATTAAAGTGCTAAAAACCCACTATTCTTTTTATTTTTAGATAGAATCTCACTCTGTTGCCTAGGTTAAAGTGCTGTGGTGTCACAGCTCCCAGCAACCTCAGACTCCTGAGCTCAAGAGATCCTCTTGCCTCAACCTCCCAAGTAGCTTGGACTATAGGTGCCTGCCACAACACTTGGCTAGTTTTTCTATTTTTAGTAGATACAGGGTATGGCTCTTGCTCAGGCTGGTTTTGAACTTGTGAGCTCAAGTGGATCCACTGGCCTTGGCCTCCCAGAGTGCTAGGATTACAAGCGTAAACCACAGTGCCCAGCCTAAAAAAAACCTCTATCATAATACAAATAGATTGAGATTAAACACCTTAAATAATTTAAGTAAAGAACAATCTTTATAACATCCTAAGATTATTTATTTATTAAATCATAGCTGTGTACATTAATGCAGTCATGGGGACATCCTAAGATTCTTAAACCTCAATGCAGAAAGATCATTCATGTTATTACTAAGGCAACAACAAAACTCTAGTAAGATCTGAACAAGTTATGATGATAGCGATCTATAACTTCTTCAGGTCAGTAACATCTTCTCTCATAAATTTATCTGCAAACGCAGAGTATAGTAAACAAAAGACTTGTTATTCTTCACTATTAAAATCATGGGTATTTGGCGGAGCCTGTAGCTCAGGGGGTAGGGCATCAGTCACACACACTGAGGCTAGAAGGTTTGAACCTGGCCCAGGCCAGCTAAAACAACAATGACAACTCCAACAAAAAAATAGCAGGTGTTGTGGCGGGTGACTGTAGTCCCAGCTACTTAGGAAGCCGAGGCCAGAGAATCACTTAAGCCCAAGAGTTTGAGGTTGCTATGAGCTGTGATGTCATGGCACTGATACTGTGATGCCATGGCACATGGCCACTTTGTGGCCTCAGTAGAGGGCCACAAAGTGAGACTGTCTCTAAAAAACACTTAAATACACCCTTGAAACAAAAGAAAACAGGAAGCGAGAAACAAGGTATACCAAAACAGGGCCAGATGCACTGAGTCCCAAGGCCCCTCAGAGCCTTGCAGTTCTTTTTGCTTCTGGCCTTCTACTTTTTATTCAGTCAAAGAACTCTTTAAGCTAGAAAAGTATTCTAAGGGCAAATGATCGCCCCAACACAAAGAATGCAGCACAAACAAGTGAAGTTTTTATGAATAGAATGACAGACTTTTATTACTATAATAATTTCATTCCCCTACATATGTCAGAGGCAAAAAAGTACGTAACCTCAGCTGCCACCCTTATATTGCCAAATGCGAATGTCACCTTTGGTGGATTTTTTAAAAGTTCTGTTCATAACCGTCTAACCTCAGGGTTTGGCAAAAACGGACAAGACAGGTCTCAGCCTGTGTGTGTGCACTTTCCTTACCTAGGATTGATTTATTTTCCTTTTTGTTTATTTTTAATCAACTGAATCTACCTTGATCTTTTTTTTTTTTT